TACTTCTCTACGTCCTCTCTCTCTCCCTACCCCCCCCTCCCCCCTCCTCTCTCTCTCTCTCTCTCTCTCTCTCAAAAGAACATACTTGTGGAATATTCTACTGTGCTTGCTTGGCCTTTCTGCTTCTGATCTGGTGATTATATTGAATTGTGCTTATTTTTGTTTTTTGATGAAGTAAGTTGTATATTGAATTGTGCTTATTTATGTCCTGTGTTGTAACAGGGGTTTCTGTTGAGGCCCTCAGAAGCAATGTAGTAAACGAAAATAAAGCTGACATTCAACTTCCAGGTAGTTGTCTTTATACATGTTATAAATTTCTGACTAGGTTTTATTAAATTGATATTTAAATTACTTGTAAAAAGAGAATTAGATTGGTATATTTAAATTTAATATTACGTTTTTTGCAGATGCAGATGAAGTATCTCTTTTTTCATTGGATGAACCAACAACAGATGCTGAATATTCAGACAAAGAACTAACTGACTTTGTTAGTGTTTGTTAGCACTTGCATGATTATCTCTCACATTGAATAACTTCAAGGTCATTGTACTCACAAGAGGTTTGATTTCTGTATGTAGGCGTCATGGTTGAGTGGTTCATATGTGAGTGGAGAGCTGACAATTCCCTTGGAGGATGATGCAAATTTGAAATTTCAATTGTCAAAGGTAATTTTGAGGTTTGACAGCATGTATCGTGAATTCATTCTTTTCTGGTCTTCTTTCATGTTCAGCCTAAATTTAGTGATGGTCCATTTCATTTGTCGCACAGGAAGCAGATCGGGAGTTTGTAACAAGTCTTGTTTCACTCACCCGTAAGATTCAAAGAGCAATCGAGATGCACCAAGATTTGGCAGGAGCTGTGCGCCGTCCTTCTGAGCTAATTTCTGGAAAATTTGATGGACTTAAGGTTACAAATTCTTCGAGACCTAGTCTCATTTTCTTTTTTTTTTCCTTTCCAAATTAAGCTTTAGCACAAGTACATGATACATCTCTTTTATCTTAAACATTGGATTTAAGATCATGTCTTTTAATCTGACCTCTCAAAAGAAATCATCTCTTTTAATCTGATCCTTCTCCTTTTCCCTTTTGCATTTTTGGGAGGTACCATCCTAGTATAGTTTCGTCCCTTTTGTCTCTTATTATTCCTTCATTTCTGGATCTCCCGCTGTTCTGGACTGTCTGGATATCATATTAACAAAGTGTCTGACGTACTGATTGTTCCTTAACTATTGATGATAACCTTCATTTCCAGTTACCTGCATCACTGGATGTTTTGGCCAATGCCTCTCAAAAGTTAGAACATCTGTTTTGATTCAGAGAAACCATCAATAGTTACACACTACTAGTGGCAGATGAGCCTATCATCCAAAAGGAAAGATGAAACCAGCTGCAGATGATCATAATGTCTTTTATTATCTGTCATTTGTCTGGAAAAAGGAAGTTATATTTCTTCTAATTTCCATACTGGTCGTACTCTGAACTGTTTCACCTCAGTTTTAAATACATAAGAGACAAACATGAAACCTGCTATACTGGTTATACCAGCTCAATTGATCTTTTTGATTTTTTTGTAGGCTCTCAAAGAGCACTATGGAGCAGAAGGTGTTGCAAAAGGAACCAAATTGTTTAGTATCGTAATGTCGAAGATGTTTGATTCCTTAACTGAAGCCTATAAAGGTTGGCTTTATTCTCTGGTTTTGACAAATTTGATAGTGTTTTAGCAGTTTCACCGATCTCTGATCTCTGTATTTGATTTATGATTACAAGAGTTGACTTTAACCATTGGCAAAAGATACTCTTAACACCCGGAAGTTGCTTTTCAAGAAAAAAACTTGCCCTTCTTTTATGGAAAAAATATATGCAGTAATTAGGAGAAGAATGTTTTCCTTTAGTTCTTCCTTTCCAATTCTTGTTATTAGATAACGTTGAGTTCTGTTTTAAAGGAAACTCTGTATTACGTGTGCAGGTCAAATTGTTGGAGTCATTGTCTGTAATGGTACACCATCAGTAGCAGAGCCATTATTCAATGTCGTTTTCACTTCTCCGCCAACTGCCCGCTGGCTGGAGGAAACAAAAGCTTTACCAAATACAACAGCTATTGAAGAAATTATATTGGTTAGACGAACTGTTGCATGGGTTACAGGGATCTTGCTTCTTATTGCCACTCTATTGGGAGTAAGTTTTTACTAACCAAACGCTAATGCATTTCAATGCTTCAATTTTCACCATTGAAAGAACTATTGCACAATGAGTTTTCCTTGTCCGTAGTTGAACAATTGCATTTAAGAGTTTCCTTCTTATAGAAAGCTATGTCGAGTTTCCTTTGTCTGAGATAATCTTCAAACTCAGACATGTGGGTTTATTGGACTGGGATAAGTTCTTAGCCGTTTTTTGGTCTGTCCCCTTTAATTCTTTGCATAAGATCTTCAATAGCTAAAGATAGGGCACAATAGAAGAGAAAGATCCATATAGTTGATACCTACTAATTGAGAATAAGTTTTTGACTTGGTAGAATACTTCTAATATTATGTTATTAATACTACTATTTATATATACTTATCTTATTTTTTTTACTTTTATTTTATTCTGGAAGGAGAGCCTTGGAGCAACGTAAAAGTTGTCTCTGTCTATCCTATAGTTCACCGATTCAAGCCTTGGAAGCAGCCACTAATGCTTGCATTAGGCAGCTGTCTACACTACCCCCCCCCCCCCCCCCCCACCCCAAATCCCTTGGGGTACTTTTTTTTTTTCTATTTTATTTTGGTAATGAATAATGATGATGATATGAATTGAGCGTAAAGAAAGAAATGAGGATTCATATCATCGACCACAACTTGTTTGGGACTGAGGCTTAGTTGTAGTATAAGATCTCCCCTAGGACCGTGATGATGATATTGTTGGATTTTAGCTTTCTTCCATAACATCTTATCATGTACTTCTCTGATTCGCCCCATACATTTATTTTGCTGCAATCTCATGGCATCTTTAATTGGATGCAGATTTACTTCCTCCTCAACATGCCACTCACAAGGGACACCCTTCTCTATTCTAACGTGAAGCTCGACTAGAGTTTTACAGCTGCTGCATTAAATCGTCGGGACATCAATGGTGCAATCTGCCCATGATATTGTACAACTGTGATTCTCTCTCATTTCCTGTGATTTAAATTATTTTGCCCGTGCCAAATATCACCTTATAGCTGTAATAAAGCTGGTTTCGCCTCCAGGTGAAAAGTTTGTAGCTTTATATATGGAAACTTATCCATGGAAGAAAATGAGTAGTGGGCTGTTGTAGTGAAAAGGGGTTTGGAACTGATTATGTCTTTGCTATTGTGTATTCATTCAGATTTTAGTATGAAGTTTTAAGTTGTTGTACACCAAAACCAAATAATGGAAACTAGTGGCTGCTTCAATATTTTTGTTGATGAATAAGATTTTAAATTTTGACCATCCCTCTGTGCCTTTCAAGAAATCATGTGTATCTTTTTAAAAAAAATTTAATTAATTTTTTTAAATCATGTGTATTAGCTATGGAACTTACAAGTTTTTAAGCTCAATCTTGAGCAATAGTTGACATTCTATCTCTCTGGAGGATACCAAACAAGAAGTGAATTAAAACCAATGTGTATTAAGGTTTCTTGTTCGGTTTGATAAATAAAAAAATCTATCTATCTATATTATTATAAAAGCACAAATATTTTATGCTAAATGTTGAACGACTAAATTATTCCTGGAATATTGATTGATTTTTATGCCCTTAAATATTTATATAATTTAAGGATATAATTGTAAATTATCGAAGAATTAAATTCCTTTCCAATTTAAACTGCAAATACGATATCCCTACAAAGTTGATATTGGGTACAATTCTATTTGGACTTAATGGACTGCTACTCTCCGCCATACTTGGAGAGAATAGTAGCCCTTTTTTTCTGACAACAATATACATGGTTCATATACTTCGTTGAGATCTAGATTTTCTTTTATTTTTTATTTTTTTGTAAATATATGAGATTTTGATTTATTCCATATAAACTAATATTAGCCTATAACCAAAATATTAAGAAAGGACAGCGAACCATTCTCCTCCAGTATGTTACAACTAAGCCGACCTAGAATTAATAATTTGAAATATCACATATTTCATTAGATTTTTATATGCAGGTCAAACAGAGAATAGAAACGCACAATGTGTAATGTACAAGATTTACAGATATACATGTTTTTCTTTAAGAAAGGCAACGGAAATATCTTCAAACAATTTTTTATTTATTTATATAAAGTAACGATTTGATATTCGAAAGGGTAAATTGAAATTATCTTTCTAAAACACTACTTAATTGACATATATTGAGACAAGATGTAAGAAATGTCCATAATCTAGAGTTGAATGTGAAGTATTTTATTTTCATTAATGTAACTCTCACAAATAAACCATATGAATATGATGTACTATACGTTCTAAGAAGATGAGACGATAGTGGACAATTGAACCTTTAGATGAAGCTGAAAATTGTAGGAAATGTTTTACATTATTGTATTAAGAAATTTGGTCGCAAAGTTGAGGAAAAATAAAGAAATTATACTTTAAGGACCAAGGGAAAAATAAAATGATGGAAAAGAATATATAAGAATAAAGCGCCAAATTAGTAATTATTTTTAGGATTTAACTATTCATCTAGGATAAAATTATAATCACCATTAGTATTTGAAGTTTACTATGAATAAGCTAGAGAGACTTACCAGGTTTACTTCGAAGACTAAAACCTTTCTACATCAAGTTGAACACTCAAATATTTATTCACTCTAAATATGTACATAAAAAGATGATGAGGAACAGAGACATATAATTATGCGATGTACAAATTACAAACTTACATCATGGAGTAAAAAAGAAAAAAAGTCATGGAAGAATAACTTGACAATCAAAAAGGTACAATGATATTGTCTTATAGCCTGTTTGGCCAAGCTGGAAAAATCAGCTTATTTTGAGAAATGCTTTTTTTTAAAAGTGCTTTAGAAAAAAAGTACTTTTGGAGAGAAGCAGTTTGTATTTGGCTAATTACTCTGAAAAGCACTTTTGAGCAATAATTTGTGTTTGGCCAAACTTTTCAGAAAGTGCTTTTAACTATCAAATTACGAATAAGGACATGAACAGATTTACTTTATAGTTAATATTATAAGTAAATAAATAATCTCAAAATTATGTTATTACATGCAATAATTAAATCTTTTTATTTTATTTAAGTAAAATATGAAAATAAAATTAAAAAGTACTTAATTCTTTTAATATAAGTTAAATATATTAAAAATCATTCAACAAATATAAAAGCATTCACCGCTAAAGTCACTATATATTAGAAAGATATCCTAAAAATAAGAAGAAATATTTATACATTAATATCCTAAGTATTAGGTTTAACGGTTATTTTGGTATATACTATATTTTGTTAAGGGCATTTTTGGTAAGAAGAAAAGTCAAAACTGCTTCTGCTTCTGCTTTTGGGAAAAGCTACTTTTTTCTGCTTCTCAGAAACTGGCTTCTTCCCAAAAGCACCTTTTTTTTCCTCAAAAAAGCTTGGCCAAACACCTCAAGTTAGGGAAAAAAGGTACTTTTGGAAAAAAAAAAGAGAAGCACTTTTGGTCTCTTGAGAAGCTTGGCCAAATATGCTATTAATTTCTAAAATTGTAACTTGATCGACATTGATATTGTTTTTCTCAAATCGTCGGTTAAATGGATATATTTTGAGACAAAATCACAATAATATCTAATGTTTAGAGTTAGATAAAACTTTGATTTTGAATATAAGGAAGAAATTGCTTTTCATATTTCTTTATATTTCTTTTAATGATTAGCAAGAAATACGTGCAACACACGTACATAGAGACTAATTATTATAAAAGCACGAATATTGGAACGCTAAATGTTGAACGACAAAAATAACCTCAAAATATTGACTGATTTTTATACCCTTCACAATTGAATTATTTCTTTTAAAAAAATTTAGAATATGGGATAAAACAGTAATATCAAGTGACTACAATATAGGAATTTGGAACCAACAAATACAAGGAAATTTTAAAAACATAAAATAACGTGAATTTAAGTTATAGGGCCTAAAATATAGGAGTTTGTTACCAACTAATAATAGAACTTCTTAAATGTCATTGGAAAAGAAAAAGAATTTCTTAAGCCATAATATAACATATTATTCCTATGCCGTCCTAACAGTATCTAAAAGAAACAAAAAATTCGAGTAAGTTTAAAAGCGGAGAATACATAATTAGCAGCCTATTTTGTTCGGCTTCAAAATCAAGAGGTAATCTTTAATTATAATTCTATTTTCTATTATTTAATACCAAAAGAATCTATATACTTATGTAGGATTACACAAGAATATGAGTAAATTATTATGTTTAGGCCATTAGTTCCTTTTCCCCCAGACGTATGGCTTCAAAATCAAGAGTTAGTCTTAAATTATAATTTTATTTTCTATTTTTTATAACAAATAGTCTATAAATTTATGTAGGATTAAACAAAAATATGAGTAAATGATTATGATTAGGCCATTAGTTCCTTTTCTCCAAAGACGTATCCTTCTAATTCAAATATTGAATCACTTTTATGAATATATATATTTTTTAATCGATTATAAAATTCACACATATTTAATAACAAATAGTTTTAGAATACATATGCAAGTGAAAATTCATTACTTTTGATACACATTTTTTAATGTTTGACAAAAAATATTTCGTGCATCGCACGAACATAGAGACTAGTATTGTTATAAAAGCACGAATATAATGTTGGTTTACAAAAATAACCTTATAATATTAAGAATAATAACTCACAATAAAAGGTCATAACCGAAATTCTACCTCTTAGTCATGTAATCCTATTAGTTTTAGGACATACTTCTTACGGAAATCCCAGACATTAGCTATACAATTCTATTACTTTTAGGATCCTATTCCTAATTCTTAAAACCTGGAAACTTTTTGCTAAATCAATTTATTTGTAAATATGCTGATTTGATAATATAGTTAAAGAAAGTTTGTGAATTTAAGGAAACTTACTGGGAATTAACCGAGAAAAAAAGGCTAACCATTATGTAGTCTACTAATCCACAAATTTGGTTTACGTTTAAAGTCCAAATCCTAATATCAATTGGAAACAACATATATAACTTATTTTCTGTTTGAGAATTGCCACATTGCCATGTAATTCTATTATTTTGTATGAATTCTATGTGCCACATTGCCACATAGACATGTAATCCTTTTACTTTTAGGACATATTTCTTAAAAAAAAAAATCATCTTACTAATTTAATTGGAGAACGTATTAAATTGTACAAATCCATTTAAAAAAAAAAGAGCTAAATACTTCTACATATTAGTTTTTAGCTTTGGTCCTGGTGCAATAATACATGATGAAATTCAAAAATAACCTGATTTACAAGTAGTAATTGAAAAATACCTACAATTTCAAAAATAATCGAAATTTAGTCACTTTTTATGTAAAGATAAATCTGAACGAAAATACTGTTCAAAATTCGAAAAATATTTCAGCATAATATACTGGAGTTCCAGTATAATATATTGGACTTCCAGCATAATATACTTGTCCAGCATAATATGCTGGAAGTTCATACACAGGTGTTCCAATCTCCAGTATATTATGCTGGAACTTCCCGTGTGTTGGAGTTCCGGCATAATATGATAGAAGCTCATACACAGGTGCACAAATCTATAGTATATTATGCTGGAACTTTCGTGTTGCAACAAAATTGTGACTATTTTTCAATGACTTTACAAACGCTGACTATTTTTCAGTTACCAATCCGAAAACTGGTAGCCCCTGCTATTTTCACAAAAATATAATATCAAAATTCTGCAAACATTTTAATGCTACAAACTTTTGAAAGGTATTATTTCTTTCTATTTTATACTCTTTTTATTGTACTTATCACCAAGTTTTCTTGCTTTAGCTTATGTATTCATATGTTATTCCTAAGATTAAAATTAACCGTGTAGGTAATATATTCCTCAATTGTTACTTTTTTCCTCAATTTTATCAACTACATTATTTTTCAAAGAATTTATTCAAGATGATTCATATAAATAGTTATTGGATGTATATATTCAATAGATAGTTTTATTCAATCTATCAATATGAGATCAAACTATTTTTGTCTCTTTCCTACTTGGCTTAAATATTATATTATTTAGTTATTTCCTAATTTGTGTTCACCTATCAATTAAGTCAGTTATTAATGTTCTATCCGTTTTATTAAAGTGATGTACTAGATTAGGCCGTCAGGCCTTTATAAATCATTTGGGTCTTTTTCAAGAAGCACGTTTTAGGAAGTTTAGTCCTTTACTTTGTCTTAAAATAAAGGGATACACAATTTTTTAATGTCTTAAAATAGTTAATGATATCATAAA